GGGCCCCCCACTGCGACCGCATAGGGGAAAAAAAGGCAAGAGGATATCAGTACACCCAATGGGCTTGCAACACAGATTCTGCAGCCAAGGGAGTTATGAAGAGGGTGCACCTTCCTTATAGTCTGCCTCGGACAAGGAAAAAAAAAAAAGAAAAAAAAAAAGGGTTTCACCTAACCACTCTAACACTAGGCAACGTGCCCTATGTCTTTCTCAAAAAAAAAAAACAAAAACAAAAACAAAAAAAACTCAACTGAGTCGTGTGTTCCACACTTAAAAAATTAAAGCATTTTGCTGACCAGGCATGACAGCTAATGGGACAGTATTAAGATTCATAAACAAATAGTTACAACCCTCCCAACCCACCCGAGTATACCTAACATGCTAGTTAAAAACAACATCCCTTACCTACCCCACCCCTCTCACCTGCATTGATTTTTAAAGGAAAGAAGAAAACCTGGCCACCCTAAAAACAAAACCCTAAACACATGGAAAATCTTCCTCTGAAAAAAGACAACTACACAAACTGCTAGAAACATAAAGGACTACTACAAAGCTGGTTATTAAAGTCAATAAACACTTTGCTACACACGTTAACATTCAGTCAGTATGCTCTGAGATAGAGCCTTAAGAAAAAGACTACCTGAGCTTGTAAGTTAATACAATCATTAAAAGGAGGTCTAAGACCATGTGGAAACACGAAACTTTTAGAACCATTGCTGGTTAAATGATGAAGGAAAACATCCCACCAGGCTGGCTTGTTAACCCGTAAGATCAGTTTTAAAAATAGACATCATTGAGGTATTTCTTCACCATGACATTTATTAAAACTCAACTGATTGTTACAGTGGTCTTAAGATCCTCTCTTCTAACCAAAACAAATTAACATGAGGAAGAAGAGAGGCAGGAGGGTCAATACAGTATATATCCTGGTCATGTGCTTCGACTGTATCAAGTATTTAATAAAACAAGCAAAGGAAAAGACACCCATCTACCGTGATACCTTTGGTAGGAAAAGCAGACACACAACACTAACACGTGTTTCACCAGTCACTGCCAGTAACACTGATTGTTGCAATGTCATGACAATAAACATTCTGCTGGATCCAGAAAAATTTACAAATACAATCACAAAGTCAAAAAGATTCTCTTGCCCTTCAAATATCTGACGTTTCCAAATAGACCCTTAAAAAGGATATATTTGCAGACATTCAAAATAGAGTATTTTTCTTTTGAAGAGAAAGAAACCTTAAAATCTTTATTTGCAATGGAGTCCTCTCTTAGTTCAGATTCACCAGTAGTTTCATAATACTGAACATAATGGTGCATGTAATTCTCATTGTGGGGAGGTAGGAAAGCCAGATTGGTTAAGAACGCCACAATTGAGTATAAGAATATTTGGTTTCAAAGTTGCTCTTTCAAGAGCAAACACTTATCCTAGGAGAAATGAGCTTGAGATTTTTTTTTATCAAATATTTTCTTTCTTTTAGTAGTAGCTTCTCATTCCCACCCCCTCCCCAGTGGAGTAATACTATTCTGAGACTTATCCAGTTGCTTGCATGAGGTAGACACAACTTTCGCCAAAAATGAGGTAGAAACAAAATAAAAGAGTGGGGTGTGTGTGTGTGTGTGTGTGTGTGTGTGTGTGTGTGCGCGCGCGCGCTGTGCTGTGTTGTGCTGTGTGCCTCTGGCCGGCTGGAAGCCTCAGGACTCTGATATCATCACATGCAAATGTAAGTACAAGAGCTTAACTTTTATACAGCCCCAGACTGTTGGAAACTCAGTAAGAGTGATGTTTTAAATAAATACCCTAAATACTTTTTGGCACCATTGGATTTAAAAGGAAAAAAACAAAAACAAAAAACCAAAACAAAACAAAAACAGAAAAAAGAATCTAACTTTGGCATATCTTTTTCTATCTACTGGAACACAGTTATCTTAGAATCTTCCAAAGAGGAAGATGACAACACATATATAAACAGTATTCTGCTGCTTCAAGCCTAAAGGTCTTCCCTTCACAAATCAGTAAGCTTTGGCTTAACTAGAATAAAACAGACTGAGCCAATCTCAAACTATTTTCCTGTAACTCCATCTTACAAAGTGCCTTGTTCTGGCAATTTTTTTGGCCTGACACAAAATTTTGATTCTATTTATGGTACCCTTGGTATTTTCCCCCTAAATAAGTTAGACTTAATAGGGCAACAATTGAGTTAGTGCACATGGGATACTGTCTGGCATACATCTGTCAGACACTGGAAGCTGTACTGTTTCTCTGGACCAAATTTAAAATTTTTTAAGATAACACTGAAGTCAGTGTCAACCAAAAGTGTTGTTTACATATGGGATATTTAGAAATCCTCTAACCCTATACCCAAATCCAATGTCAGCTCTAAACCTCCCTAATCCATGACTTCACTTGACCAGACCAGAACTACATGAGAATTGCTGTCTAAAAATAATTTACTGTCTGGAAACATTTCAACTTTCTCCTTGCAACACCCAGGACTCTCCCTCTTTGACCCAATTCCTATTCACCTTAGGATCAGTTCATCCTGAGGAGATATGCATTTCAATGCATGTGTTTTGAACAGCCTCACTCCAGGGAGTACCAAATGTTGACTGACTTTCATCATCTTTTCTTTGACTTGAATCATCCCTTTGTACAATAAGCAAATACTCTCCAAAGTGCTTCACACCAATTCCTGTGGGTCAGGAGTCAATTGTGGGCAGCCACAGATGCCACATGTTTTAAAAAGCACATGCTTCCCAAATGCCAGTAATGCACCACTGGGTATGAAGGAAACATAGGGCCTAAAAGAGTCACTGCCACTAGGATTCTGAGGTAGCATGTCCCAACTACACTCTCATTTTCTGGAAATGTTATTTCTAATTTACTTGAAATCTTTATTAACTAATTAATACCTGATCCTTTCAGGCACACAATGGAAAGCTTAACTTTACAACCAAATCTCTAGTAAAATGTTCAGATGAGCAGTTTCAAGAAAAATAATTTCTTCCTCAGGTCCTAAGATTTCCCACAAACCAAGAAGCTGAGAAGGAAAGAGTGAAAATGAAGATGGAAAAAAAAAAAATCAGTTAGTGACGCACTGATATGACTTTTCTGAAAATGTTGTTAAAGAAAAAGAAAACTATGAAGGTCCAGTCTCTCACAGTCCATCTTTGGTGTTTAAAAGGTGTTTTGCTGGGTGGTTAGTGGGGGAAGAAAGATTAGCACCAAATTACTCCAAAGTAAAACATGTTTTAATTACCAAAGATTCAGAACCAGGGAGGCAAAAAAGGGCAATGACATAGGAACTGGAGGTAGGATTCATTAACTGAATTCTTTAGTAAAAGAAAAGTGATGTTACCAAACCAGATTTCTTAACACCTCCCCACCCTGTAACAAACACAGCTAGAGGCAGCACTTTGAAGCTACTTTCCAATTTTTGGATCCTTTTATTGCATGCACTTCCCATTTGTGAAGTGCGTTTGTCACTCAGAAATACCTAAAATTTAAAGCAATGGAAAGAAGACATGGTACCTTGTAGTGGCAAATTAACTGCCCAAAAGAGACAGAGATGGGATCTGATTGACTCTTCACAATCCCCCCCTGCCACCTCCTTTCCTCTTGGATGATAAGAGCAAATTGCTCTGCTTTGTTAATATATTCTCTCATTTAAAATTACATCCATTTTTCAGTAAGAATTTCACTTAAATACAGGATCAGAAATGGATCCTCAGTCTTTCTGATGAAATAAGAAGTCTCCCTGTAATCCACCGATGTCGGAGAGGACTTCTTTTTCCTGAGGGGTGCTACTCTGGAATTTGTTTCTGCTGTCATGTCAGTATATGGGGGAAGTGAAGGGATCCATCTGGGTTCTGACAAGCAGGAGTATCAATCGGCCACACCTGCTTTCTTTCCACCTGAAAAAGACACAAAATACCCAGAAGCACCCAAGTCCAACTCACAACAAACCAACCCTGTAAAGTGACATTGATGCCATCCCATGGTTCTGAGTGGGAACCTGGGTTAGGTTTTCATTCTTTGGTACCGAGGTATAGGTTTAAGAAAAAGTATCCTACATTTGGGGCGATTTGGTTTACAAATCTTTTTACATTCAGAGGCCCTGGGGGTGGAAGTCCACATTAACCAAGAGCCCAGGCATAGACCATTCTGTCAAAGTGGCCTGAGCCAAGGCTGTAGGAACTTTCAAACATTCTATTTCCCTGAACTTCCAAAGCAGTAAAAAAATTGTGCTTTTAAAATAAAAGTCCTTTCTTCTGCCTAACTCTTCTTAGGAAAAGAAACCCGAGGACTACAGAACAACATTCAACCTCGGGATGGGGATCGAACAGGGGTGGCCTTGCTTCTCTTCTGCATTCTACCTACGACCCCAGCACATACGTGGCCCACCCCATGCTCACACCCACACACAAGTCAGTGTATGAAAACCCTCTTGAAAATGAGGTTAATTTTCCTCCTCCTTCCACTTAACTCTTTATAACCAATAGCAAACATTTTTTGCTCAAAATCCAAATAAAAAATCCTGCACTACATCTATTTTTCAGAAATTAAACTATGAGAATAAGGGGAAGGGGGAATTCTTGAGCGGTGGTGTGTCATTTTTAGTTTTATGATTTAAGAGCAAAATCAAAATCTGACACACACATAAACACATACTCCCTCCTCCCTTAAAAACAATTTAAAAAGTAACAAAAATCACATATCCTAAAATATGAATGGTCTGCTTTTCTTGGCTAGCAAGCCACAACCACATCTTCTAGGAATAAGAAAATATTCTGAACAGAATGTTAAACACACTGAGGTAATAAAAGGGGAACACAGGAAAAGTATCTGCTGCAGCACTTAAAACAAAACAAAAACTCCCCTGCCCAAGTTCAAGACCACACAACACAATCTAATCCCACATGAACACAGTATGCTCAAGAACACAAACAAGCTATATCATGCACTTTAAATCCTATTTTTCCATGTATTACAGTTTTTTGTGTTTTGTTGGCTCAAGCTACAGAATGCATCCCACCAAACATAGCCAGTACCCTCCCCCAGCCTTATAGATGCCTGGCTTGTGCACATTGCACCCCCACATGGGGCCAGAGGGGCAGTGGGAGGAGGGGACAGAGCCTGCTGGAGAAGGAAACGTTAAGCTTTATGAGGTAGATAGAAATGATCACTTCACAGGTTCAATCCCTGCAGAAAAGAGAAGTACATTCATCTGTAAAAAAATAAAGATGAGGTAGGACTTAAGCAATGTTGTACTTTTCTTGTTCTCTTTTAAAAAAAAGAAAAAAAGAAATTTCCCTGAGACGGTTTCTTCTTTGAAATTCAAAAAGAGAAAAAGAGAAAGACAGAGACGCAAACGCACAGCCCAAACAGAGAAGCCTAGAAAACATGATTAGAAGATGAGGATTCGATTGTTGCCAAAGTCCACCACGACGATCATTCCATCGGGGGTGACAGCAATGCCTGAGGGGCGGTCCATCTGCCCAAAGCCACTGCCCTGCGCACCAAACTTGCAAAGGAAGCTGCCATTGGACTCAAACATCTGTACACGGTGGTTCCTGGAGTCGGCTACGATGATTCGGCCTTCTTGGTCTACGGCCACGCCCTGCGGACGAAGGAACTGCCCATTACCCGTGCCCTCTGAGCCCAGGAAGCGTGCAGATTGGCAGTCGGGGTGAATGACAAGGAGGCGGTGATTGTTGAAGTCGGTGACTACCAAGTGGCCCTCATGATTGAAGGCCACCCCTCGAGGGGAGTCAAAGTGCTTCCAGAGAGCCCCCTCGAAGCCATACTTATTCAGGAAGATCCCATCAGGCCCGAACAGCTGGATCCGGTGGTTTCGTGTGTCTGAGACCAGGATTTTACCCTCAGAATTCACCGCCACATCCCAAGGGTAGTTGAACTGCCCATTCTTGGTTCCTTTCTCACCGAATTTGAGGAGGAACTGGCCATCAAAGGTAAAGATCTGGATGCGATGATTGTCCTTGTCAGCCACCACGATCCTCCGTGAGGTGTCGCAGGCCACCCCAGCTGGCCGGTCAAACTGCCCAGGCCGGGAGCCCAGGGTACCAAACTTGTGATGGAAGGTACCGCAGGGCTTGAACACCTGGATGCGGTTGTTGCTGCGGTCAGCGACGATGATGTAACCCTCCTTGTCCACACTCACACCCCATGGGCGGCAGAGCTTGCCATCACTATCACCCTCGCTGCCAAAACTCAGGCCTGGGAGCCCAATGCCCACATAGCTGCGGCCTGACTTGACCACCACCTTGAAGGGGCTGTTTTCGATGTGCTGATTGCACATGGTGACTGACACAAGGTGCTCACCTTCCAGCTGGGGTCGGTAGCTTACCATGTAAGTCCCGTTCTGTTGATCATTCACCTCTGCACCAAAGAGATTACCATCGGGGCCCAGGACCACAGCAGACATCAGGTCACCCCCAGATAAGCGGGGTTCCCCATCATGGTCGTAGCCAATGACAGTGAAGGAGGCCACCTTACCCTGGAGGGCTCGTTTGAGGCCGTCACCAGTGGCCTTGGTGAGGGGTGCAAAGGCGCCACTGCTGACGAAGCCAAAGGATTTTATGGCCAGGTACAGGGCCTGGTCAGGGGGCGTGAACATGACCCGATCGTCTTCCTGGGGCTGCAGAAAGCTCCGCACAGTCTTCAGCTCCTGCACTTGGGCCAGCATGCGGTCTCGGGCCAGCAGGATGTCCAGTGCTCTGCCCTCCTCTAGGACCTGCTGGACCGCACTGATGGTACTCTCAAGCTTGTTGAGGTTTTGTCGCAGCTTCTCCACTTGTAGGTACAGAGACTTGGCTTTCACCTGGCGGATCTTCTCTACCTGAAGGGAAAAGTGGCAACAACGAGAGAGAACATAGTGGTTTAGAACCAAAAACAACAAGGCATGTAACCCAAATCTCATCAAAGGACAAACGCATACTGAAGAACAGTTAACAAAGATAGTCAGACTTCACTCTTCCAAAAATGTCAAAATGAAAAAGGCACAGAAAAGCAGAGGGTGTGGTCCAGGTGAAAGGAAAACTAAAGACACAAATGTCACTATAATACACTACAAATGCCAGCCAACTCTTTTGGCTCTTTTACTGTGAACAGAAAAAACAATCTAGATATTAATTTCTCAACAGTGGTAAGGGTCCTGAGAGGCCACAAGACAAGCACTGCAGATGGTTAAGAAAATCAAATCCATAGAAAATCCCTATCCCAAGATGAACTGATATATAGGCAATGTGATCAATGTAAACTCAGAACAAAGTCACTAATAACCTATGATATCTACCTGGAGTCCTGGCATGGCGCCATAGCATAGGCAAGGTCGGTGATTCAAGCTCACCAGCTGCTTCCTAGGAAACGCCACACAGGGTCACTTTCAGTTGGAACAGACTCAATGGCACATAACCAAGACATGAAAAATACAGGTAATGTGTGATCCTGGATTGAGGGGAAGTAACTATAAATATGACTATAAATAGCTATAAAAAAACAAAAAACAAGACTAGGTGTTGTTGTTAAGTGTTGTCAAGTCTGTTCCAACTCATAGCAACCCTGCATAGGGTTTCCAAGGAACAGTTGGTGGGTTTGAACTGCTGACCTGTGGTTCGCAGTTCAGTGCTGATCCTCTAGCGCCACACTAGCAGTCTATGGACTAGGTACTAGTATTAAATATTAAATTTCCTAACTTGATTATGTAAGCATTTCCTTGTTTATAGGAAATATTCAAGTGTAAATAAGGATAAATTATATACATACATATGTATATACTTACATATAAAGAGTATGATGATTAAGGCAATGGGGCAAAATGTATACAACTGACAGATCTGGATGACAGGTATATGGAGTTCTATGTATGAAATGAAGCATACAGATGCTAAGGTGGTCACTTGCTTGAATTTCCAAAAGTTTTAAATAATGGAGGAGAGCAATCACATATGTGAATTTATGCTCTTCAATGTGGAACATGGATTGAAGAGGGACCAGTAAGACAGCATAGATCAGAGATGTCCAGTTAAACAGGCAATGTGCTGAGAAAATAAAGGTAGAGAGAGGGGAAGTGAGCAGATGCTGGAGACAGAATCAGGACTTCTACTGAACTGGATTACAAAGCCAGTCTTACACTAAAGAGCCTGCAATCTCATGGTGTGCAGCTGCACATGTATGGATGATGAGAAGGAGAAAAGGTTGGGTGTGTGACAACTAAGAGGAAATTGGTAAGAGCTAAATCCAGATTACAAGCCTCACTAATTCCCCTAGTCTCCTCTCTTCACACTTCAGTATTTAAGAACAGCTATTGCTGCTCCTAACAAACCTATACAGGGTTGCTATGGGTGGGAACTGACTCAATAGCACCTAACAACAACATCAGAAATCTGTAACTAAAGAAAATAACATGGACTACAACGAGCATTCATTTCTTTTTTCTGGTGAATTTATACCTAGTTCTTCATGATTAACAGAATATTTTGCCTTTTTCTACCGTACATCCTCTCCCTGCCCTTTAAACTGCCTTAAAGTGTCAAAGTTTTAAAAGGGAAAGGCACTGGAAGGATGGCACAGAATGACAACTAAGACTGACAGGTGATCTTGGTGAGAGAGGTTAGGATGTCACAGATCCATAAAAACAAAGTCTAGCAAGGCTCATAGTTGACTAGGGGTCTGTTGCTTTAATAGCCAAAGCTTTTCCATCCCCCATGCCCCAGGCTCATCATTGAGAGGAGCTCCCAACAGAGTTCTTGTCCATGGACAGACTAAAAGATGGTCTGAAGTGAGACAAAGTTGTGTGTTTGTAAACAGATTAACTCAGACTCCAGGAACTATAAAAGTTTTGTTTCAGAGTGGTGAATGACATCATAAGAAATGTCAGCTTACATGCCAAAAAATAAAAAAAACCATCTTCAATCTGAACAAATGAATGAGGGCCCACAAGCTGTCAATCAATATATATAGTTAGCACTAGGAATAATACAGAAGCCTGATGTAGTAACAAGGTGCAAGCTAAGCCATAATGGTTCCCTGGGCCCAAATGAGAGAAATGGAAGCAGCCAATCAGAACACCCAGGTTCAAACCCTTGCCTAAGAAAGGTAATGAGTCTAGCTCGGTGGTCCTCACTGAGGGAGCGGATTCACCTGTGGTGCATTTATGAAATCCAGATGCCCATCAACACAGACTTAAAAGCTCCAGATGAATGGTCCCCAAACCTTAACCTTCCTCCCAGTTATAAGGTTTCTTTTCCAAAGAAACCCTCCAAATACAAAATACTATGATATATGAACATGTTATCTGATCTGGTAACATGTGGCTATTTGGGAAAATGGTATTTTGTCTGATCAATGAAACGGCAGCTTCTTAATTGTATTGCATTCAATAAATAAGTCCCCCAGGCCCGTTAAGAAATTCACTCCATCTGAAGGGAATAACAACTATTATTTCATATTATTTTGCAGAGAAGACTATTAATCAAAAAGCCACAGCAAGTCTGATTTAGAATAAGAATCCATTGTTGGTAGGTTTATTATATTCTAATTTGATTTCATAGGGTGGTAATAAATGTGATTTTTGACCCATTCACTTTTTTTTTTAACAGTTCACTCTGGAACCAGAGGCTACGTGTGTGCAGAGACCTGTGTGGTGGCAGTAAGAAAAAAGCTTGATCGTTTGGTCTCATCTGGTCCTATGGCTGTGGTTCTAATGCCTGAACTATGCTGTTGTTTAGGACGCTGCTGAGTCAGTGACAACTCATAGCACACTAACAAGTTTTTCTTGCACCGAGTGTCTGGGTGGGGTTCGAACTGATAACTTTTCAGTTACCAGCCAAGCACTTAATGTTATACCAACAAGCTCCTTAGTGATTGGTCATCCAGAGCTATTGTTGTTAGGTTCCATCCGGTTGAGCTTGGTGGTTATAATTAATCTCCCAAGGGAACTGTGTCCACTGGAAACTTCTAAGCCACAAGAATTAAGAGGCGTTTTCTGGCCAAATGCACCCATGTACATGTTCAATAACTGGGGAACGAGAAAACAATTTTGGAACAGAGAGGTTTTCTGGGCAGACACTGGGAAGGAATAAAAAATTAATAAGAGAGTAGTTCTCCCAGTGGAGGTCTTATAGCAAAAAACTGAAGCTAAATGGGTCTAAGGTGTGTCCAGTATAAGCAAGTGTGTTTTGGAATTATCTGAGAATAATTTTTTAAGGCAAGTAGAAACAATTTGACTCTTTCCCCCAGACATGCATCTCCTTGTATAAAAGCAAAAACTTGGATTTCTATCCCTTCTGAAACAGAACTCCCTCCTCCCTTTAAAGAGAGGACATGAGTCAGTCTCCAGAAGGGAGGGAGCTAAGGTGAGACCTGCAGAAAGCCCCACACACAAAGGCCCTTTCATCAGCAGATCCAGAAGAGCCAGTTTGTGGCAGAATTCACGGCAGAGCTCTCAGGTTGCAAGAAGCGGGCCCCTTCTCAGTTATAATGAACATTCGTGGGTGGCACACCAGACAACAGATCATGGGGAACATCCCAGTGACTACATTGGTGCTCAAAAAATAAGTGCTGAGAGTCCTTCTCTCAAAATTCTTTGTCTTTCTGTCAACAGGTAACTGAACAATGGAGCCATCCACACTCCTTAGAAGAGGCAGAAAGTGGCACTTGCCCAAGCATAACTAAATGGGTGAAAAAAAGGCAAAGGGCATAGTCATTAACACCCGAGGGTCACGTTTAGAAATCAAGATGCATTCCTCATGGGAGAAAGACCTGGAGATGTGCTTTTGTAAAGATTGTTTTTGTTATGTGCCATCGAGTAGGTTCTATATAGAGTTTCTAAGAAGTAGCTGGTGGGTATGAACCACTGACTTTGCTATTAGCGGTCCAGTGCTTAGCCTACATTGCCATACTATGATTCCTACCATCATATAGATTGGACATTAAATTAAAACAAGGTCATATACATACACAACACAAGCACATCCTTTTCTTAATCAGTTATGTATAAAAAAATAAAATCAAAATTCTTGTCAAGTCTATTCTGACTTAATGGTGACCCCATATATGAGCATATATGGGAGGCATTGAACCATCAATGGCTTCCCATCAGCCAGACAGTCTTGTTCAAATGAAAGCTTTGGTTGCCCATCATTACACTGTTTGTGGGTTCAGAAACGTAATTATAGTCAAAAAAGTGACATGGGTAATGGCCTATTCATAGGTATAAGCTGTATTTTCCCTGAATGTGAATCTAAGATCAGAAAAGCCAAAGCTGAGATGGTGCCCTGTGCTTTGGTGGGGTGAGTCATCATCATCTTTCCAGCTGATTTTTATCTAGACAGCACACAAGTGTGTTCACCACCCTTCTCAGGAAGAAAGGGCACAGACTCACTGCCCTTACAAGTGGGAAACTGGTTTTCCACAAGGGCTCAGGAAGTGGAGCCAGCCAGGATATCAGAAATTAAGGATGTTTCCTACCAGCTTGCTTTTCTTAACAACAGTTTTGATTGTACTTGCCTTCTTTCTGCTCCTTGTGAGTATGTGCAATAAAACTTGAGACTTATGGGTGCCCGACTACTTCTGAAAAGCCTTCTTGTACGACTGCATAGATGACACCCACAATGTTCCAAGGGCCCTGTATCGTTCTGCCAACAAACTTTTGTGGAAAATAGCAAGTGTTCTAAATTTAGAGCATGGGTCCTGGACTCTGAGAGACCTCAGAGAATTCTGCTGCAGTTTACAGCGGAAATGCTGGCTGGGTGGGGTGAGGAGGTGGGGTCCCACTGTTACCTTCCACAGCAGCTCGCATTCCCGCTCTTCCAGGGCCTTCTTGTGCCTTGCTGTCACAGCTTTGACTTCTGACTGCACCACCTTTGCCTTCAACTCCACCTGTTCTGCCACGGTCTGGGCCTGCTCGATGCTCAGCTGAAACACCAAGAAGAACCACCTCAAGGCATTAGTCCTCAAAGGAAACATTCAAACTCTGTGTATTTAGCAGATTTGGATACTGATCGTCCTGGCCCCACCCACAGCCTTGGGAAGAAATCTGGCACTTAGGGTAAGACTGGCACCTGTCTGACATGTAACTGAAGGAATTGCTGGCAGACACTGGATTTCGTTGTATAAGGAATAGCACCTACACTGTGAATGTCAGGACTATTAAGAGCTGCTCTGACACATTGAAACACGTGTTAGATGGGTCTTGTAGGAAAATAGAGACTGAGGATTAGATGTGAAATGAAGAACTCTGAGCACAAGGGCAACTTTCCAGGCTAGTTCCCTGCCTGGGGAAAGGCAGGCAGGCTGAGCACATGAAGGGCTATCTGTCTCAGGAGGTGTCAAGGCATAAGCAAGACAATATAGTTCATTCCAGCTGGAATTCACATCAAGCGTATGCATACTGGGAATATCATCTGGACTACCTAAGAAACCGCGCCCCGTGGTCTACTCACCACCACACACCCTATTCTGTACCACTACTCCTAGTAAATCAGCTGGTTTAATCAGACATATTACTGTTCATAAAAAATTAATCAGGACAGAAGGCCTGGTGGTTTTCATTAATATTACATGATGTAGTTGAAAAGCCACAAGGATCTCTGTGAGATACTGAGGCATTAAATCAGAATTCCTGTTGCGGATGATGCAACAGATCTGGACCAGGTGACCCAAATCAGGTGGGACCTTGAGAAACCTAAGAGTTGGGAGACAGTTGGTAGGGTGACTAACCATCTGGCTTGCTCTGGGGACTGAGGGGTTTCTGTGACATGGGACTTTCAGTGTTAACACTGAGACAGGGCAGGCTTGGAAAATCTAGGATGGTTGGTCACCCTAGGAGTTGGGTAATCCAAGTTCGAATCTTGGCTCAACCTTCCTTTACTGCTCTAGCCTTGGTAAAAAGTAAATGTAAAGAAAATGCAAGGTGATTCACAGAAAGAGCTGAATGCAGAGTCGAGTCTGGCACAGAGTAAAATATTTTGCTGTTATTATTAACATTGCTTAGCTGACAAATATCTGGAAGGAAAGTTTAACTTCCCCTCATTACACTTAGCTTTCATCACACAAGAAGCCTAGTCACCAAATTAAGCCTGCAAACGATTCTTTCCTTTTTTTAAAATGTAAAATAACACACAACATAAAGTTTACCATTAGTGACGTTTACAAGGCTGTGCAACCATGCTACTATCCAGTTCTAGAACATTCTGATTACCCCAAAGGAAATCCTGTACCTGTAAAACAGTCACTGCCACAGCACACACAAGGTCCCTAAAACCATGGCAACCAACAATGTACTTCCTGTCTCTATGGATTTTTGCTCAGTCTAGATATTGCATGCAAAGAAACAAAAATAAGTGGCCTGACTTTCAATCACATACAGTCTGGGTACCTAATTACTATCTTGAAGAGGGTTGACATCTTTGCAGTATGCAAGCCACATCCACACTGAATTTCCAGGTGACTCAGTTCCTTAAGCTCTCTGTGCCTCAATTTCCTCACTAGTAGCTATGGTGCTGTAAGATAAGCACCTGACTGCTAACCACAACTGCTAATCTTATACAGGATGGCTAAGAGCAGGGTTCAACTTGATGGCACTTAACAACAACAACTAATATAATAGTAACAGTACCAGTTGCTTTTGAGTTGCTTCTGACCCATGGTGACCTTGTGTCTGTCAAGAGAACTGTGTTCCAGACGGTTTTCAGCAGCTCATCTCTAGCCTCCCACAAACCCTGAAAGGGAATCACCTCATCTAAATCAACTCTGGAGTAGACTCAAACCTCCAACTGCCCAGTTAGAGCCAGGTTGTATAGTAACCATTTATACCAAAGGATTCTTGTGCAGCTATGGGTTAATGCTCCAGACTACAAAGCCATTTGAACTGCAAGGTAGGCAGTTCAAGCTCACCAGCTGCTCCTCAGAAACCCTACAGAGGGTTGCTATGGGTCGGAACCAACTCGACGGCACTTAACAACAACATCCTCACAGCACCCTGGACTGACACAGTTTATTACACTCTGCTCCAATCCCTATAAAACCTAAGGATCCAATGAGCTTACCAGAGCTACTTGAGCTTATCTTGAAGGCTCACAGAGGGTAACTAATCTAGGACCCTCATCCAAATTCACCAATTTCAAAACCTAGTTGACCCAGCCACAATGGGCTAGAGCTGAGAGTGAAGTGTCCAGCTGATATGAAGTGGGGGGGGAGCGTGCAAGAATGCCCAAACTTGCAGATAGTACTCATTTGCCCTAGCTTGGATGGCTTGATGATCAGAACTCAACTTCGTTGTTGTTGTTAGGTGCCATCAAGTCAGTACCGACTCATAGTGAACTTATGCACAGTAGAATGAAACATTGATCCTGGGTCAACTTCACTACTGTTACCATGCTTGAGCCCATTGATGCTGCCAGATTGCCAATTCATCTCGCTGGGGAAGGTCTTCCTCTTGAGGAAGATAAAAAAGTTTGATACAGGAAGCAAGTGTAAATTGCTGCAATTTGATAAACTTGACCTGTACTATGGATGTAGTAAAACAAATTATCAACCAAGAGAGGAATCTTCACAACAAGGATCAATCCTATCCCCTTGGTACACAGAGTTGATAAGGACGGGCAACTTAGACATTGGCTACCTAAAATGTGAAGGGTGGAGTGTAGGAGGGTAGGGGATAAAGGCAGGAAGTGGCTGGCCTACAAGTTTTAAAGAGGGAATTAAGTTTCACAGTAAGCCAGGGTGGGGTGGGGGAAGGTAACTGAGTAGTTTTCATTGTCTAGATGGGTCTGATGAAAGGAGATGGGTGTAAGAATTCTTTTGATGCAATAGTCACCACTGTAAAGGTAGAAGTTGTATAACAAAAAGGGGGAAGTAGTTAATCTTACATTCCAGGAAGACAGGACCCTAGGACCATTAAGAGAGAAAAGCATAGGTGCAAAGTGGGATTCTAACCAGAGAAGCAGTGACACCAGAGATGGAGACAGAGGTGATGGCATGGAGAGAGAGCAGCTGAGGACTCTAGACTCCTGGAAAGAGAAAGGCTGTGTGCTGGCGGCCAGGAGGCTGGCTTGCAAAATATGCCCTTTGGTTGTTTAAAGGATTTTTTTTCCTGAGTGTTTTTGTGCACACACACACACAAAAGGCAAACATTGTTAACCAATGGAGCGTGGAGGGCAATGAAACAAAATACGATTATTCTCCTGATGTTCTCCCACGTAAGGTATCACTCAATTCACAATAAAAGGTTTAAAAAAACAGCAACAAAAGTCACTTCTTTCCTGAAGCTGCAACTGGTTGACTGCTGGCCAGGTTTCTGTTCAAACTTTACAATTTTGCACACCCACCCTGAAAGGTCATTACATAGCAAAGTGGGAGAACAGTCCATACCACTTGACCATTTCTTATTGTATATATCTGTCCCTGGCACTAGGCAGTCAACAAATCAATGCAGATTGATAGATCTCAATTATCTAAAGTTTTCTATATACAGAATAATGAATCCATTATACAAGTATATCTATCCATATAAGCAGACATATGGGGTTAATGACTTTTCACTCAGAAAACGTAATACCTCACTACCAGACACTTGTTGTTGCTAATTGCTGTCAAGTTGGATCCAACTCATAGCGACTCTGTATAGGGCTTCCGAGGAGTGGTCGGTGAGTTTGAACCACTGACTTTGTGGTTCAAAAACTGACCTTGCTGTCCAGTGCTTATCCTAGGATGCCACACCAGAACTAGACATTTGGACTGAAGAGAATTTGATGTATGGGATTAGATGAATGGAGGACTGGAAGGGTAATGGGAAGGAACACTGAGAATGACAAAAACAGTGACTGCAAGAAGCAGCCCCCACGCCTTGGGCTAGGAAAGGAAAGGGAACTAGGTTAGTGCCCACAAATATGGAGGAAGAGCCATGCCTAGCTAGTGCTAAGAGTGCAACTTCTGTTGCTAGGGTGAATAAATGCGACTGATTAGATGAGGAAGCCAAAAAGAAGCATCAAGTCCTTTCTTCCAATTTTGTGCTTAAAAGAATCACAGCCCCAGCATCACAAGGTAAAATCATGAAAGGGTGGGCGAGAGCTCAAGAGAGTAGAGCGCACTAACTGGGATACCCAGTTTTACAAGATGTCTTCGGTTATTAGTTAACACAGGTCTGCTATCCAAGGTAATATTTGACCAAGACAATCAAAATTGTGTTCATAATGGGTCTTAATGCTGCCTTATCAGAAAAGAAACAACAGCAAACAAGATTTCTTACTAGCATGTGCTACTTGCCAGCTGACTTTTACCTAAAATTCAGAAAATGTGCAAATAGCAGACACACATTCCTGTGAGGTAACAGCACAGAGCACATCCTTTGCAAAGCAGGTTAGTTCTTCATATCATCTCTCCCTAATATCCCCTGGCAAGGCAAGATCTATATTTCCTCCCTGTCCCCAAGACTTGTATTTCAAACTCTTATTCTATAGTAACTATTTCTTCCATTTTTGAGGTAAATAAAAGGAATGCAGCACTCTTATTATACCTTGAGTCATCACTGAGTATGCAAGGATAACATCATTCCATGGGTTGAGAGTCATAAAGTCTCAGCATGTAGAGGGCAACAAAGGTCTCCCCTTGAACACTACACAATCCCACCAACTACTGCGTGCATTCCAAGATGTATAGACAAGGACCTGATCAACTAGTTCCCATTCTCCTGAAGGAGGCACAAAGCAGATGGGTTGGGGATTTCCAAATGACAAAACAGAAACGCACACTCTGCATTTAAGACAATCAACCAACAAGCATGGGACTAGAGAAAAAAAAAAAATGTTACCATCTTTTAGGTGTTAGCAGACTTAAACATTTGAAAATTTAAGAGACTCAATCTGGGCAAGTGAAACAGGCAGTACATCCCAACAAGTGGTCGGCCATTAGTGCAG